GGCCCTGACCCTGGCCCCGCGGGTAGGAAAGCAGCATCAGTGAGTGGACTAAGAGCGGTGACAGGCAGGAAGGGTGGTGACGAGGAAAAGCAGCAGCGGGGAAAAAGCGGTGGCAGTGACAGGAGGCAGCAAATGGCAGCTGAGTGGGAGTGTGGGGCCTGCACTGTTGCTGGCAGGTGCCCAGGGCAGAGTGTCAGGAGTGCGCCGCCCAGGCTGGCAGGGTCCACCTGGCTCCACTGCACGGAGCTCCCCAGGGCTCGCATGCAGTTCCTGGGTTCTCTGCCCCAGCCATGTGCCTCTGGAGGAGGAGCACTGTGCAATGGAGCCAGCAGCCTGTCCCCATTCACTGCTGTGTGCAGGGCATGGGGAATGGCAGGGACCTCTGTGCTATGGAGCCTGGCTGGCTTTGCCCCTCTTCCTGCAGCCCTCGCTGAGCCCCATGACCTGCACCACAGGCTTCATGGCACAGGGCTCTCCCCAATGGCACAGGACTCAGGCAGGGAACCTAGATATACACACATACACACATGCACCCTCCCCTACACACACACACATACATAGACCCCCACAAACCCCATACCCAGCCACCCACACCCCCTACACATCCATATATACCTCCCCATCCACACCCCCTCTACAACCCCCATAACCCACCCACAATATACAAAAGTAAGACTTCATTTTGAGATACTGTGTGATCACCTCTATATACATTACACAAATGCATGCAAATCAGAACAAAAAATACTTTTTGATTTTTTTTCTGGTTCCAAAATGGCACCCCCCCCCCCCCCAAAGAAGTCCTTCTGGGGGTAAGAGGGGGGATTTTTGGTGGCAAAGGTCAGGGGCTAGGGGCAGGACTTCCAATCCCAGGGTAGCAATCAGGAGGCGGGGCACCTGTCAAGGGGCAGGGCTACCCTTGCGGCCCTCAAGAGCTCACCAAAAACTGAATAAGTGGCCCCCCAGCCAAAAGAATTGGCCAACCCTGTCCTAAAAGGTCCACACAAGTCCTGATATACTGTTTCCTCTCTCACTGGGCCCCTGAATGACATTTCCCTACTCTGTTTTCTATCAATCTAGAGCACCATAGCTTTTGAGCACTTAAGTATTCAAGAAAGAAAAAGCCCTCCTCTCCCTCGGACATTAGTACTTGCAGGATTATTTACTGTGGGAAAGTTGGGTCAGAGTTTTACATCTCGTTTTGAGGGCTATTTGGTTTGTCGTCATTCTGATCTTTCATGGCAGCAAGTCCCACAGTAACAGGCCAGCTGCAGAGAAAGCTTTATCTCCCACACAGGCATATTTCACTCTTGGGGTTGAAAGTTATGTCACTGAAGAGGAACGTAGTTGTCATGGTAAGTCTTAGTGGCAGAGCGTGAGATGGTTGCTTAGGTAGCTATTATAAGGATCCTTATAACGGAGCAGCTTTCTTTCAGGCAACTAAGGTCAATGGCATTAAGCATATAGCTTTTAACCTGGGATTCAAAAAAGCCACTGCAAACAGATTCACAATGCAGGGTTAAGAGAATTTAAGACATCTACTGATTTCATGCTGTTTGCCCCGCCCAGACTTACTATTCTAGCTGGAGGTTACAGAACTAGGAAAGTCAGGAGACACTACGGCAAATTGGATAGTGCAAAGAAATTACAGTTTTTAACAGCGGAGAAAAGGCGGCATGCTAGTGTCCTCAAGCAAGCAGTGCTGGCAGGCAGAAAAGAGACTGGAGAGAGGAAAAACCCACCAGGGACGTTACACAATTCAAAGGCTTTTTTAAACAATACATGGCAAAGAGTACCTGGAATTTCTGATCAGATCCACTTGTCTTGATGTCAGTGCAAAAATGCATGGACTTTCCTGGAGCTTCTCATTGTTCTGTGGGACTGAAGAAACAGGAGAGAAAAAGGAGACTTTATCTCCAGTGCATATCAGAGTGAAGCAGAGACCAATCACATTCTCGCTTTCATTGCACTGCTAAAAAAGAGGTAAATTCAGTTTGCTTAGGGCTGCATTTGTGTTTGAAAGGGTGCAGAGACTAAACATGAGAGAAGTTCAAGCCTCCCCCAGCAGGACTGAAGAGTTGTATGCAAACTCCGAACATTTTCCTGGCAAGATAAGGAAGCAAGATGTGTGTCAAATGTCTTTATGCCATGCACCGCTGATTAAAATGGACTGTTCACTCCTTGCCTGCCTCTTTTGTTGGCTGGGGAATTAAAGTGCTGTGGACTTTAGTCCCATCTATTTTTCAGGACCCTCCCCCTCCCACTTCCATAACCCAGACAATAGGCAATACTTAAAAATAAAAGCCTATCATGAACGGTACCACAACAGGAAGACTAGAATACAGAGAAAAACCTAACAAAGGATGTCAGAGCATTCACAGATGAAACCACTAGACTATGGAAAGGGAAGTAGGCAATTGCACATCAGCTTTGGACAAGATAGCATCAAAACCCGAGCCCCAGAGGGCAAAGAAAGAAGTGTTTACAAAAAAAATAGAAGGACTGGTGCATTTGTAGGCATGAGAGTGCCACAGGTGAAATGCTATGCATAATAACTGACACTTTAAGATGTAATGTTCGTTTAACATTTAGTTTTACGAATAAACCTAATTAAAATTAACATTTAAAACTGATAACCTATGCTAGCTTATAGGAAGTTTAAATCCCAATTGAAATGAAAAAGAATCGCACTCAACCAGCAAAAAAGCTAAAACAAAAAAATGAGGTTTAGGAGGGTCCACTGGCTAAGCACCTGCAACTTCAAATGCCAGACTAGCTCTCTCAGAAATTGCCTCTTCTGCAAGGCAGAACAAATATCTTCTTCTTTCACTCTAATCAATTAGTTTGGTTCAGCTAGTTTATTCATAGCTAAGAAATTGAGCGGGTATTGGAAAAGCAGGAAAACTGGTTTTCCTTTTTCCAATCTGTGAACAAAAAAATGGAGATGGGGGCATGAGGTCCATCAGTCCTAAAACCTTGGAGGGCACAGGAACAGAAACAAATCAGTGCAGTTAGCTGAAGGTACTCCCTTTATGAATACGTCAACTGTAAATGCAAGCCATATCTTTGTAAAATTACCAGTTCATAAGGAAAAAAGTAGGCAGAATATTTAAGGCAGTATTAAAATCAAAATATTGAAGTGTTATTTTTGTGCATTTTCAATCATAATCCCCGTTTCCATCCAAATGCAGCTTGACACAAATTGTAAGAACAAATCTTGTAAGTTAGAAATGCATCATTTGCCATTTTCTAGCTTAGTAAAAATACACAAATTAAACAGGCTAGATCATCCCTTCAAAACAACTGCATTGTCTTGGTTAGTAAAACCAAGTATCAAATACAATAACATGGCAGAGTTTTGAAAAGGTAAAAATACAAAATGAGACTAAAATGAATCATTTAAAAATTGATCCACATGGCAAGAACTCTTCTCTTTAACCAAAGAGATTGCCACCTTCTCTAGAGAACAACGCTGGTGGGCCGACTAACCCAGACTGAGGACGCCATCCTCAGCCTCAGCAGTGAAGCTGTGACCCCAACAGTCTCCCACCCAAGCCCAAGCAAGTGGGAGATTTGGTTTTTGCTGAAGTTACAATCTCCAAAGAATCCCTCAGCAGCAAGGCATCCAATATGCCGCATACCCTGGAACACAAAACGTGCTTATTCAACATGCCAAACGGCTGGGGCAGCACTCCAAGAGAGAAGCCCATCCAAGATCACCTCTCCTGCTCGATGAAATATAATGGGGCAATGAACACAGCCAGAAGCTGAGGGAGGTAGGACGGCTCTTGCCTGCACAGCACCAGGCACAGACAGAACAGCAATCCTACGCAATCTGAGCATGCAGCCAAGACCACAGAAAAAAGCAACACTAGCCAGAAGCAGAAGACGCTCGCTTTCCTCTGCAGCTGCCTGGTTAACAGTGAAAGAAGGAAACCGTTAGGAGACCTGACCTGCACCCCCCTCGATTTTTATTCCTCTCCAAGGACCCAAGTTGGGCCAACTCATCTTTACTGGATGAGAGCCAGGATGCTCCCCTCATGCACAAATAATGCCTCTATTTGGTTGGTCAAAGTAGGCTGCTATGACTTGACACAGTTCTCAACCCTTTCTAGCTGTGAAGAAACAGAGAAATCACACTAGGTCTGACCAGCAGACTTGTATCCTGTCACCAAGCAAGACCAAAACCAGATGCGTGACAGGAATGTGCAGGAAAACACCCTTCAGTAGCTTACGGGGTAATATATTCCCAGGGGGAATTTCTGCTGGATCCACATCAGACAAACATTGATTTATGCCGTGAAATGTCAGGATGTCTACCCCTTGCTTGTGAACACTGAATAGCACAGGAACACTACCATTCAAAATGGCCAGGCACATACATCCTTCACCCAAGAGCAGTCATCAAAAACACGTTTTTTTTGAGTGACCAACCTTAGACAAACGAGTTTCAAGCAAAAGTCTTTCCTGAAAATGAACTCTCTTGAAATCATGCAATGCATTCGCCACTGAGGACAGACCAAAACAGTCAGAGCTTTAAAGCAAGTCCTGGTGAGGATTTCTCAGAGGAGCCCCGATGCATGGAAGCATGCTTTGCAATCAAGGCAATGCAGTTGCCTCAGCCACCAAGCCAGACAGTCTATTCAAAGCAACTGGGGATAATCTTTGTTGGAGGAAGGAATGTACTGTCAAAATGCTTGCAGCTAGTTAGAGCAGAAATCATACTGTCAAGTCGATATTAAAAAGTCTAAGACAAACCAACACCGTTTACTGCAACAGTGGCTGGAACTGCTAGATTATGCAGCTCTGTTCCCAGAATAGTCGTATGAGATCCTCCTTGGGCACTGCCTCCAAGGGAAGTCCCACTGTCTGCAAGTGCAGGCCAAAATTCCTTGCCCCACTGTTTTTAAATTGCAAAAGCCAGTAACAGCACTGCCCTAGCTGCCAGCATGCATGAGGATTAATACCCTAAGAACTGTGAGGCACTCGGATATTATGGTGACAGGGATCATGCAAATGCCCAAGAGATAAATACCAAAGTTTGTTGGAAACAGCAGTAGAAAAAAAAATTCAATGACTAGAAAGGTCTACACTTGATCCCAGTCTTACATCTGAGACCTCAGCAATAGCAAAAAGTGGTGATGAATTAATTAATGGGCACACCTGCTTCATTCCCACTGCCAAACCATGTTAAAGACTGCCCACCCAAGGCAGCTGTGCTGATTTAACTAAGCCATTTCTAACCAGAGTAACCGAATTCTCACAACGCTTGTGGGTTTACAGTTACCAAATACTGAATATTACCTGGATCACGCTACATTTAATCTGTTTGCTCCCACAGCTGAAGCCCTCTCTCCAACCGTAACCTGATGCTTGCCTGGTCGGGGAACACTGCCTAGAGACCAAATTAGACATACCCCATCTCACCTTTTTTCTCAAGGTGATAATTTTGAAGAGGCAGGAGAGCCCTTGTTACTTCTCAGCACAGATTAGCTTCCAATTAACCAATATCCTTCCAAGTCAAGGGAATGCACAAATTGCCGTTCCCTTGTTCCCACCACTACTACTACTACTGCGCTTTCAAATTCTCTCTTTAGTTGCGGCCCATTTCACCAGGCTGCATCAGTACTTAAGTACGTGTCAACATGATCTTTAATCTCAGATTTGTCTTGGGTATTTCTAAAACACAAGGAGAGGAACAGTTTTTGAGAGCGGCTCTGGTTTAGATAGAGAAGCTGCACCAGTATAACAAAAGGTACATCTGCAAACAGAAGTTTAAAGTGGTGCAACATCAATATACACAACCCTTTATTCTTGAGGACTACCCCCTCATTCCACCCCAACCTCACCAAGCAGAGCTCCACGGAAATGCAACTTTTCTTCACTAGTTTCATGTTTGCTTCCTCCAAAAATATCATCACCACGATAAGTACTTAGAGCCTGCTTTCTACAGAGCATGGTTTCACGAGGGCACCAAGTAGCACTGCTTAGCGATGACAGACAAAATCTTGTTGAACCAAGTACAGAGGCTGGTCACAAAGATGTCTGTCGCTCCTCCTAGCGTTAACGCTTGAACCAGATCTCTGCAGAGATGCCCAGCCTTCTCTCAGTTCCAGTTACTGAAATGAAATGGCAGGGCCAGGCCACACAAGGCCCTCATGCTTCCTACCCCACATTAACAGTGGTGTGTGTTTGTATATTCCCAGCTTCCAGGGCTTGGAAAATCAACCTGAAATCCAAACATGTGTTGTATTGTAGATTGTGAGCAATAAGTCGAGACACCAAAGATAACGAGCATCTGTTCACCACCTAAGTACTCTACACTAATGAAGCAGAAGTTGCATTTATCAAAAGAGAAAATTAGTCAAATGTGCTTCAGGGAACAAGCCGACTCTCGGGAGGTATTAGCTAACATTGGGGTAGGATACTAAGTCTAGCCAAACCCAAGATCTGATGTCACCTAACAATTTTTCAACTCTTATAATCAGGATAAATAGTGTTCTGTTCCTATTTCTCATCTGTAGATATTTCCACTCTTCTTCTCTTTGGACCCATGGACAGGAAATGAAGTTGTAGCTAAATATATATATTTTTTTCTTCAGAAGATTGGATCGCATTCAATTTACATTTCTGATGGAGCACAACCTTGAAGCGTGCTGCATTCAGAAGCAAATTCATCAATTTCTAAAGCTCTAGCATGTGTGTAGTTAACATACAGTTTAGCCTGTCAGCATCAGTTACCACTTGTCTAAGGTATGACAGCCTCCAACCTTTGTTGCTGTCACATGAAGCCTGACTCATACAGTCAGTAGATTTTTTTAAAATTTTAAATACTGGTGAGCAGTTCAGAAACTAAGAAATATGGAAAATAGGAGTAAACAGGGAAAAAAAAAAATCAGGCACCACTGCACAAAGGGCAATAAACTTATGGAATACGTTAATCGGGAAAGGCAACTGAAACAGAGGATATAAATAAGCTCTAGGGATATCCACACTGGCTTGCGAAGGCGGAAGGGAGTGAAGGTATGATAAAAAAGCAGGAAGATGGGATTAAGAAATTATGAAAGTGCAGCCACACTGGGCCAGACGGCTGTTTCCTGTTCCTAAAAATTTATGTTCTCCTGATTTAAAGAGGACAGTTTAAGTATTGTCAAATTCTGGTAAGGCAAGTTTTGCAGAGCCACATAACATGGTCAATGAAAGTGCTTTTCAGGCCACGCTAGAACAAACTCTGCACTCCTCCTTGGCCAGCACAACAATGCCGTGCAGCAGTGGCCATCTCCCAGGTCTTCTTTCAAATTTCCAACCCACAGCCAAACGCTGCAGCAGTTCATCCACCTGCACGAGGGTAAAGTGTCATTTCCTTCATCTATCACCACTGCTTTCATGCTCATGCACATTAGAAATGTGCCTTTTCAGCAAAGGGAGATCAGATTCCCAGGTTCTGTCTTTATTTTGCTAAAATAAAAGTCTATGTCGGGTTGCAGGGAGCACACTGTGTCTACGCTTCAGAGTCAGCAGTGGCTTCCAATAGCTCTCCAAGCACAATTCAAGGTGCTAGTCTTGAGCTATAAAGCCCTACGTGGCCTGGGACCTACATAGCTAAGGGACTACCTCCTCCCTCACATTCCATCATGATCCTTAAGGTCAGCCAAGAACAACCTCCATTCACCAAGTCAAAACGCACAGGAGGTCATTTTCAGTTGTTGGTCCCCAGCTCTGGAACTCCTTTCCCTTGGGGCCTGCCAGAGCTGGAGCCTGGCCATCTTTCAGAAGTGGTGCAAGACATTTTCATACAGGAAAACTGTTATCATTGTAGGGTTAAGCTCTGGGTATTCTTTGGGGAACAACTGTATTACTTCATCCGTTTTTATTACTTTGTTGTCACAGGCTACCCTGAGCCTCTTTGGGAAAGCTGGCACAGAAATCCAATCAAATCGAATAAATCAGTACAAATGTTGTAGCAAGGCCTCATGTTACCAAGCTTACTCCTTGGACAACTGCACATCCATGTAGTTTGAGGAGTCCCAGGGCAACCAGGAGAGGAAAAAAAAAAAAAAGGGGGAAATGGAGGAAAGAAAAAAGAAAGGCCCATACTTCCTGCAGAACATGCCACCAAAATTACACTTCACCCAGGCACACGTATGCTTAATACTACTCAGCAGCGTTCCCTCTAAGCTGCATGGCGTGAGCGGCTGCAAAGGCACGCTCACGCCATGCTGCCAGGCACACCTGCACAGCTGCGTACATCACACAGCTCAGAGGGAATGCTGCTACTCAGAACTACAATAGCGCAAATGCAGTGTCCAGCCATCTGGGCTCCTAGTTGGGAGAAGATGCTTATTTCACCTTCCAGATTCTTCTAGTTGTCTCTCAAAAACACAAGGTCCTGAACATACAAAACTGTGACTGGTCTATACAGAGCATGCCTACTATGGAAGCCATCTTCTTTCCCTTGTGGCAGGCTTTCAGTCTGCTGGGCTAAGTACAGAACCAACTGGCACTGATACAGAAAGGGACAGCGCTCCTGTTTAGTACGCTTGTGGCACTGATGCAAAAAGAAGCTTCCCCTCTAATATACTGCTCCATTAGCCAGAGCAGAGATAGATTACGATTCACTGCGCGAGGATGCAATGCTACAAGGCAGCATTTTCAATGACAGATATGAAAGCTCCGGCAAAACAAGACAGGCTTTACATTACTTATCAAGATGACTGCAGTTCCTGTTTTAAGGTACAGGGAATATAAGCAGAAACAAATAAACCTATATTTAAAACATTTTGAACAAACACCCACCAGAACAGGGTTCATTGGGTCCCTCCCCTACTCACATGGCCGCTTTAATCACTGAGAACACTGCCATTGTTTCAAAGCCTGTATGCTTTTTCCACTTTCTTTTCCCCAAATGAGCCCTTGGCACAAAGCCTGCACCTGGGTACAAGACTCACCTAGCTCTGTCGGCTTCAGCAGTTCATCCAAGATGTTATAGAAGGGCAGTTTCACCAGCCGAACTTCGGGCTTTACAACTTTGGGCGGTAACCTTCCCAGTCCATTAAGGTATTTTCCATAGATCGCAGGATAGTCAATGTTAGTAGTGGAGATAGAAGTCCTAGCAACAGTGCTCCCCCGGTCGTATGAAGAATGTATGGAGAGCGTCTCAGGAGGTCGGTGCGGCTGCTGCTGCGGCTGCCCAGAGTCGGAGCTCTTCTTGGCATAACGAGTCTCATAGAGCTCTTTAATCTTCTTGAACACTTCCGGGCTACAGTCAAACTGGACCAGCTGCAATGCTCTGGTGACCAGTTCATGTTTAAGTCCGCTTTTACTCCTGCCGACATACCCCAGTAACATCTGAAGATCCGACACTCTGAAACTCATCACCATGTTCTAGGGAATAAAGACGAAAAGTCAAGTCAAAGATTCTTATGGTTATAAATAGATTGTGTGACAATTCCCTCCACAGTCTGTAGCCTGGAATCCAAAATACTGATGTTCACTTTCAAGAGCGACACCTAGCCTTCTGCTTAGATCAGCTGCTGTTCACCTGATTAACGTGCTGTGCGTTAGACACTTGTCTGGACAATGGAAATGAGCAGGAGACTATCTACTGAATTATCAACCTATTCACACAGGTCAGACAGCGATGGCACAAGCTCATCTTTAAATTACTACAAATATTTGTATCCTCGTGCTGATTTTAGTAGAAGCAATAGCAACTATACAGTAACTCAGGGAGACACTGAGTGGCTTTGCACCATATTCATGACTCAGTTCCTGCTTTCAAAAGAAGGAATTAGCCCTACCCAATAGCTCTCATTCCCTGCCTGGCACCTGGGAAAATTGTGTGAGTTTTTTAAAAATGCCATTATGTTTGGGTGTATTTTGATGTCATCCTATATTAAAGCGAAGGCAACAGTTAAGGTCAGTAGTGGAGACAGAAGCTCTAGCAACAGTGCTGCCCCAGCTGTATGAAGAACACCCTGTTTTAAGACTGCACACATCTATCCCAGTGTTATCAGCACTGCCTGCATGTGCAGGAGAATTCTCACATATGCCTGATTCAGAACTGAAATGCTAACAGGCCACAGAACGATGCTCAAGGAGGTTTTATTTGAGCAGAAGGCAGGAAGACAGGCCAGGCCAGGCCACCAGTGACATTCACAGGGAACCCTCTGGTCAGAAACCCAGTTCTTGATGCTAGACATCCTCAGCATCTTCCCTCTTTCTGCCAGGATGTATTCTCTGGACTCTGTTTGAATATTTCATCTTCATAGCAGTCTCTGGTCACTGCAGTCTGATGTTTTCAAAGAATCCTTTCTACTCAGTCTTCCTGTGCCCATGGGAACAGTTCCTTTCCTTATCACCCAGGACTTCTTATCCTCTGGGTGACAGCAGGGCCTATCAGATTGCTAGATGGGCAAGGGTGCCAAGGGACTACTTGCTTCTCTGGCCCATGCCCAGCCACTCCTAATACCAGGCCCAGTGCCTGCTTCGCTACTGTTCTAATAGAGCACCATAAAACTATTAAGGTAGACCCAAGGTTTTCAAGACCATTTAACACTATCCAATCTCAATTTCACCTTCTTGTGCTCGTGGAAGTTCAGAGAGCCTATAACTGTCCACAGATTCAGGAAGACAACGTTGCATCTGTCTACACTGGAAAGCTTACCTGCATAAGAATAAGAGCTTTTTAATTAAAAGTAATGCTTAGATTCAGAGATTGATCATTCTGACCCTCCTGACTATCAAAGACAATGTCACAAGTGTTCAGGGTGAACCGATGAAGTGCATTTCCTATAAATGCAAACTGCCTTGAAAATGTTTAGCAGGCACCTATGTTTCTCACTTCAATGTACTTCGTGTTTTATACACAGTATTCTACAGCAGAAGATGAAATCGGAGCGCTGGTAATGATCTTTCCATCTGAAGTCAGATTAATCTATGCAAACCAGCTGATAACAGTATTCTTGTGATTCTCTGAAGAGGGACAAACTAATTTTAAAATTAAAAAAATGAAGTAAGACCAAAAACGTTCACTTGCCATGTTTATTTGTGGGAAGTAGTATTCAGCCCAGAAAGACCTAACATTATTTTATTTTATTTTTCCCAGTTTTCTATGAAAGCCTCTAACTTCCTGGTTCACTGAAGAGGTCACAGAACTCAAACTCACTGGCTGGACTGAGACGCTGGGTGGCTGAGATGTTCTGGAATTTCTTCTGGCGAGGGGAAAGGGCTTTGGAGAGAGTTCAGCTGCTTGAACACTTGTCTTAAGACTTGGGAAACCTGGGTTCATCTCCCTGCTTCACTACAGAGCTGTTGTGTAGTTCAGGATGAGTCATTTGGTCTCTGTGCTTCTGTTCTTCGTCTGTAGCATGGAAAAAATAGGACTTTGCCACCCCGCGGAGTTAAGATAAAGAAACATTAAAGACTGTGAGATGCTTACTGCAAGAGAGTCAAAAACACCTCCAAAAAAAGCTATTCCTGCACTCACTGTTCTTGCTTTCTGATCACTTGGGGCATCAGGAACATAAAACAGTTTACGCGCAGTTTATATTTAGCAGCATTTCAAGTCTTAAAAAACACAATCATGATTCTTGACCAATAAGAAAGCCAAAACATTTAGGCACAGAGAAAAACAGATCACTAGAAGCTTGGGTCACTCACTCATCAAGGAGCGAACACAAATACAGTTTTCGTTAGCTAGCGAGGTTATTTCAATATCAATGCAGATGCAGGCTTTCCCATAAACTAGGAGGTCGTGTGGACAAGGGGCACAGAAGATGGCAAGTTCCAGTCTACCAAGCCCACAGATTCACACAAGTTTAGGGCTGGAAGGGACCTCAGAAGATCATCTGGGCAGGAAAGATGGCTGGCCTCACATGTCACCCCAGCGCACCTTTGATGACCAACATGTCCGCAGTGCCTCCTATCAGAAGAGCAGCAGGCTCAAGCCACCAGTGTCCATCCTTCAATCCTTTTGCCACTTTGCAATCCTGCAACCTCTCAGGCAGCGCCGCAAACCCTCAGCTGCCCCAGGTAGGCGAGTTCCTTCCTTCCAGCCTAATCCGGCTGTACACCGAGCACCTTCAGCTGTCATTGCAGTCACTGGGTAAGAGCGGTGATTTGACAGGAAGCTTTGCAGCGCGAAGCCGCCTTCGATCTCATCCCTGGGCACATCGCGAGCTCATCCCCGGGCGCATTTGCCCACTTCACACACACAAGGGTACTGCACAGTGGGACTGGACCACAAAGAAGAGCTTAGCGCTACATACGAGACAGAGCATCCAGAGCATCCCTTGTATATATACAGGACTACATATATGGGATGCTCTGGAAAACTAGACACATTTTGAAAGCCCCTCGATTGAAATGTAAAGGTCGCCAGGACCCTCGACACCTTCCAGTGCCACATGGTCTTCCCCGAAAGCTCCCCTGGCCTTCGACGCGGACCTCAGCAAAACCATCCGGGGATGTGCCGGCGGAGGGGGAGTGTTCAGCAGGGAATTTCTCCGCCGGGAGGTATTTGGACAGCTCCTCGCAACTTGCGCCAAAAGCCTTTCCAGCGGAGGATGCCTGCCCGCCATCGCTAGGGGCCAGTCCCCCCCTTGCAGCCCCGTGAGCCAAGGGGAGAGCAGGGAGGGTGAGGGAGGGATGGGTCGACCCCAGGAGCAGGCGGCGGGGCAGAG